AATTGATGCTTTTGAACTGTGGTGTTGGAGAAGACTCTTGAGAGTCCCTTGGACTGCAAGAAGATCCAACCAGTCCATCCTAAAGGAGATCAGTCCTGGGTGTTCATTGGAAGGACTGGTGTTGAAGCTGAAACTCTAATACTTTGGCTACCTGATGCGAAGAGCTGACTCATTTGAAAAGACCCTGATGCTGGGAAAGATCGAGGGCAGGAGGAGAAGGGGACGACAGAGGATGAGATGGCTGGAGGGCATCACCGACTCAATGGACATGAGTTTGAGTAAACTCTGGGAGTTGGTGATGCACAGGGAGGCCTGGCAAGCTGCGGTTCATGGGGTCGCAAAGAGTCGGACACAACTGAGTGACTGAACTGAACTGAAGCAGAACTTCTGGTGGTACCACTTGTCTTGGTGGAAGAATGGATATTGGCCTCAAAGGCAGTCAGAACTTGAGGGCAAATGTGGGACCACAGGCAGGGAAGTTCAGGTCTGGCCACTATTGTGTGCCACTTTTCCCTTAGTGGTTATTTGCCGATTCCTAAAAGTGCTAGGTGAGTCAAAAATAGTTATAGTACATTTAGAAGTTAAACAGAGCTTGAAAGATAACAATTTGAATTTAAGGGCAAACAAAAACAGGGAACTCTGGCAAATAAATGATTTTCTACTGAACTTCTGAAGAACTATATCCTAGAAGTCATAGAAACTGGAAATAGGCAAGATAATACAAAGGCTGAAACCTAGATTTGAATCAATGAAATATACAATTGAATTAAGGTGATTTTCTAATGTAACAAACAGTCAAAATCAATTCTCATTAGAAAGAGATAACCTTATTTAGATTCTCTGATTTCTTGTGTATGTACATACAGCACTTGACATTAAATAAAAATAGCAATCTTATAAAGAAGTTACAAGGAGAAAAACAAACATTAGAAACAGTCCACCAGGTACTACAGATATCTTTAGATGGATGAGTCACATTTTGGTATTTTGTAGATGTGAAAGTAATTATCATTAATATTGATATTCTTTAATATAACAGCGATTTGAAAACATAAGTAGAAAATATTTAACTAAAATAAAAAGACTGTCATCAGAGAATGGAAAAAGAGATCATGTCCTCCAGGTGTTTTAATGAGGCAAATATAACACTGATACAAAACCTGGAAAGGATGATACAGGGAAGGAAAATTAATGGTCATTGTCTCTTAAAGATATTTGTATAAATTGTAAGAAAATATTAGCAACCAAATATAGAAAAGTATGTGAAAAGAGAAATGAATACAAAAAATAAAAGTATCAAATATAAGGTTGGTAATGCATCAAAACTAAGTTGGACTTAAAGGAAAACTTTTAATTATATAAACCACTTCATTCATTCATACAGCAAATGTCAAATTTTGTTGAATCCTTTTCACCTTGAGATTAACAACAAAATCTACTAGTACTACTTCTATAATTAGCCTCCAACTAATAAAAATAAATGAAAAAAAGAAAAAGAAAAAGAAAACATTTTTCTGTGGGGCCTTGCCAGTGTAATGTAAGAAAAAAAACATAAAAACAAAAAAAACCAACAACAACAGTAGAGTTAAATAAGAAAAAAAAAAATTTGGTATTATTTCCAGATGTTTTTGTATTCATCAAACACCCAAAGTATATACAGACAATTTTATGAATATAAATCCATCAAAATTATGTGTATTCTCTGTTACCTATAATATTTTCCTTTGTAACATGGTTATTTTCATCAGAATTTGGATGTTTTCCTTTAAATATTTAAAATATTTAATAGCAATAATAAACATTTTAAATAGTTAATAGAAAAATTACTATAGTATTTGTCTTCCTTTCACAAGTTTGCAAATTACAACCCCAGAATATGGTATTTTCCACCATATATTTTAAAAATTCAGGCTTAAGCATATGCGACAAGAATAACAGAATTATTTCAGACATTAACACACTGAACAGAAAAATCACAAAATTCCCTGA